AAAAAAAAAAAAAACAAATAAAAAAAAATAAAAATAAAGCAACTGTGGACCACCGCTGCAGCAGTGACGCGCGTATGGAAAAGAAGAAGGGGACCGCGAAATCAGTTCTTTCCTCACACCCGGCGCTCGATACATCGCGCGAGTCATCAAATATAAACTTACTTTTGGTGTGGTACACATTTTTAAAACACACCCTCGCGCAATGTATACCAGGCGGGCGATGAAATGAAAAAAAATTACGTTTTCACGTATGTGACATTGGTGTCGACCGTCATTCACCCGAGCTCGCTCAATAGGATAAACACCCCTCTCTTAGCAGATATGGTGCACATGTGTAAGTATGTGTATAATGCGCGGAATGGCAAAAAAAAAAAAAAAAACAATTGAAAGAAAAAAAGGGGGGGGGAACAAACGAGCCCATATCACTTTGCAGAGCGAGACGAAAATAAGTATGTTATGCTGGGTTATTGATGGATATACACTACTGATACCTATACTGCAGAGTATACTGTCTCAAACGTGTAAGTATATCATCCATACGCGTGTGTACATGTGTGTGTATGAATTACCTTTCGCATGGAGTTGGTCTTGTCGAGGACGAGCAGCACGTAGGAGGACTCATCGTCGCTGCTCTTGTCGTAGAAGGCAATCTCGCTCGGGCTGAAGTCGAGCTTGATTCGCTTGATGTCGCGGCCGTGATTGTACGTAATGAATATCAACTTGTTCGCACTGTCGGCAAATACGCACTGCAAACACACACACACACGTATATATCATAATGCATACGCGCAATACCTAATACGTGTACGAAAAAAAAAAACAAAAACAAATTTATATATATCGGTGGGGCTATTGTCAAATGATGCATTGGGGGGGGGAGGGGGATTATTTTATGTGTGTGACGTATAAAATGTGCCAACGTGTTACGGCGTATGGGGCCATTATTTTCGAGTACAACGGAAGGGGACGATAAATTGGACGATTGTCGTCGTTCCATGCGTGTGTGTGTTTTTTTGCTCTCTTCGATTTGATTTTTAAATCGTGTGTGTACATATATATATATACCGACAACGATGATTGCTTGTCGGGGAGCATAGTACAATTACATCCTTCACATATATATATATATACGTATACGAAGTGGTATTTATTTAATTTCTTTTTTTTACAATGTCGCATAACGCAGACGAGGATTTCGGATCGGAAAATCGTCAAACCGGGTCGGCGAGCGTGGATTATACATGTATTTAACACACACACAAATGCAGGAAGGCCATAGACACTGGCTGTCATCGACTCTCGTGAATGACATTAACCAACGTGTTTTTCTTACAACGCACACGTGTTAGATTTTATCGAAACGAACCATTTCTTTTTTTTTTTTTTTTTTTTTAAGTGTAAGCCTCTCTTACGTTTTAACTGCGTTTTTTTTCCGAGTCCCTCGAATTATGTACTGAATTTTGTTTTTTTTGTTTTTCCTTCAACATACCATCCGCTCGAGACTCGGTTGGCGTAGCGCGTGTCTATGTATAATACGCGTAACGGTACACATCAGCGATACCGGGAGCTCAGCTATCGAGCCAATCAAGATCTCGTGGGTACGTGTATCAACATCGTACAGGTGTGCCATTACAGTGTACACATGTATAATATGTACAGGTGGACCGCGAGCCCGATATATATACCCTTAATGGCGACGGTATACTACATGGCAAGAGCCGGTTGCTCCGGGCTCTCATGTACTCGTGGAGCGGTCTTGGGAAATCCGAGGGGAAAAAGAAGAAACGCGCTTTCGATGATGATGGTAACGAAGCTTCGGATGTATATATAGCCGCGCGGCGAAACTTTTCTCGTTAGCGAGGGCCTTTGGGAGGTCTCCGCGATCTCGGATGCCGGGAGGGGGAACAGAAAAATTCTTGAAAAGTTGCGCGGACGAGTGTTTTTTTTTCTTACCATTTCGAAAATACGAAAGAAAACAATTGCGATTTGGCTACGAATGAAAAAGAAAGAAAACTCGACGAAACCCTGATAAAAAAAAAAAACACACAAATCTGTTGAAATTTAACGGAAGCCGTACTCGCAAGGCTCGTTCGGCTTTAAAAAAATCTTTGCGTATACGTCGCGCACTCGTTGCATTGTATACACTGTTGATCCAAACGTGTTCAAGTTATGAGTATGTAAATATGTTTACGTGTTGGAATCGTGTGGCTAAAATCGATGCACAAAAATAGTGCTCACGAATCATAAATTGCCAAACCGATCGATTACCAACTCTAACTTGACTGTATCAATTTTTTTGGTTTCATACAATTCGTCGCAAAAAGTCTCAATATGTCTGTCATAATTTTAATTTGTGGCTTTTCGACACACATTTTTTCTGTGTTTAAAATTTTACTGATCAATTGAGCTAGTAAGAAAAACCAATTCGATTGTTTTACAAATTCTCTCGTTAAAATTGTTGGGATGGATTCTGTAAAAGTATATAATTTTTATCAATACACTTGGATTGACAGATAATTTTTATCAATACACTTGGATTGGTAAAGGATCTGTCCCATCCATTATCCGTACTTGTTGTTTTCTAACATTAAAATAATTAATCTTCATTAATTATTTAAATAACAAACATTAAAACCACCATTAAATAAAGTGAATTTTAATAAATCATTTTCGTTGGAAATATTTGATAATGAACAATCACGTGTGACATGTACAACCTGTATTTTTGTCCCCTCGGATACTCGAACAACTTTAATTGTTCTAACCCTGTTATATGTATATTAAATTGTAAACAATAACGATTTTAAAAGATAAATTATGAAATATCCATTGATGTTTCGTACAGGGTATCCACCACATACCTGAATAATCTGAAAATAAGATCTGAAAATATCAAGGGATCAACTGACTATAGAAAAATCCAGGGATTTCAGGGAGAATTTTTATTGTAATTCTAGTAATTTTATATTTTAAAAGAATATTTACCCTTGAATTAAAAAAATTGAAAAGGTAGGTATAGCTGGATAAAATGGTAAAAATTTACTTAGAACAAATTTTAATGGAAATAATTTTATAACTAACTTGATATTAAAAAATTTTTAGTTTTGACGTACAATAATACCCTAGAAAATTTTTACAATAAAGTTTTTTTTTAAAAAAAGCAAGAGCGAGTAACAGTATAGTTTCCGTCACATAAGCGCCGTCATCATAGGGACCATTTTTCTGCTCGAGGGGCTAATGAATCATGGACCCGAGGGACGAAAGGATAGCCACGCTCAAACTATTTTTCATACGTGCCTGAAAGGCCCGAAAAACGCCCCCAGGAAGCAAACATGCGAACTCAAAGTAAAGGGAAGTGGAAAGGTGTATATATGTATATATATATGAGTTGATACACTTTCCCTTCTTCAATGACAAGACAAGCCGTTTTCCATGAGCGCGTCACCCCGAGCCAGCGAACGACCGATGATAAAAGTAGAAAAAAAAAAAAAAAAAAAAAAAAAAAAAAAAAAAAAAAAAAAAAAAAAAAAAAAAAAAA